CCCGCTGCGGGGTGGGGGGCAGCCCCGGGCCTTCCTCCGGATAGTCCAGCCCTCCCCGCCCGCCCGTGGAGGGTCTCCGAGCCTTGCTCCCACCCGCGTGGCCGTGGCCGCTGGGTCCCACTAGCCCGGGAGCACCGAGGTCCCCGTCCAGGCTGGGGGACCCTCGGCAGCCCCGCGCACAGGGACGGGGCTGCTGTCACTCTTCGGAGCGGCTCTCCGGGCACGGCAAGCCAGAGAATGCAAAGGCGCAGGCAAAGGCAGGGCTGCCCGAGGCCCCCCCTGCTCCTGGTTTCTTCGCCACCCCTGTCCCAACCTCCTCCTCACCCCCGGGGCCGGGGGGCAGCTGGCTCTGGAGGGTGCGGAAGAGAAACCTTCAGTGACCGTTTGCTCCTTCCACTCCTCCCTCCCAGCACTTTTCCAGAGGCTGCAGCAGGATGGCTGGAGAGACGTTCCTGCCTTGGCCATCCTGCCTATGCTGGACGTGCAGCGGCCCCCAGACCCACAAGGCAGCCGTGACCGCAGGGGAGGCCCAGGCCCAGGGGCTCCCATCCCACAGGAGAGCCCCATCCCGCAGGGTTGGGGTCTGCCCAACCCTGCGGGGAGCCCTGCTGTGAGCACATGCTGCCGGCGCCTGGAGCTTCTTCCTGGAGTGCAGTGTGGGGGGAGGCCGAGAGCTGGTGAGCAGCTGGAGAGGCAGATCTATGGGGAGCTGCTTCATTTGAGGTTACGCAGGACCAGCTATAATGACAGCTGGTGTGAGGTGGACAGACAGGGCTGGCCGAAAGGTGGGCATGAGGGTGCGAGAGGGACATGCTGGTACCCCAAAACTTTCCCCTAAGAGACGAACCATGGTGAGAGCCCAGCAAATGCTTTATTGCCAAGAGCAGCAATTCCCTCAGCCCCTGGGCAGCAGAGATGGAGGCTGCCTCACTGTGTCCCATACCAGATCGGTCCATACCGACAAGCAGGTCGTTAGTGCCAAGAGCCAGCCCCGGCACCAGCTGCCCAGCCTAGGGCCACACAGGGGATGGAGAGAGCTGGACAGCCCAGCCTGCAGGACAGGGACTCTCCCTTAGCGCTAATGCATTGTGCCATGCTCTGAGACCACCATCCTAAATATTGCCCATGTAGCTCTCGCCAGGCCTGGTGGTCTGCAGACAGCCTGGGCATGTTGCTGGCTCCTCCTCAAGGTCCCCCTCTGCTCCTGCTCCCTTGGGCCGGTGCTGCGCAGCATGGGGGCTCAGCCTGTCCTGTGGCACTGCCTCCCCGTGCCCACACCTAACGCAGCGTGCTCAGAGGAGACGTCCCAGGAGTCGAGTGCCAGGAGAGCTGCCCCAGGCCACTGGCAGGTCAACGAAGCCCAGCTTGCTGTAGAAGCTCAGCTGCTGCTGGTCAGTGGCACCAACCTGGCAAAACACTCCCCGTGACCCTGGAAGGGAGGTGAGAGGTCAGGCCCATACCACTGGGAACCCAGCGCTGGGGCTAGGGGCCAGTGGCTGGGACCCCTCCGCAAGGGGTCATCCTCTCCACTGCCCTTTGGCACTGGGTGCCTGTGTGATGCCCCAAGACATAGGTCCACGTGTCCCCCAGTGCAAGGGGAGGGCATGGTGCCTGGGAGCTGGGGCCAGACTGCGTCAGAGAGGGGACAGGGAGCCCCATTGAGGGCTACCCCAGCCCCATGCTGAGAGGTGGGGTGCAGGTGGGGCTGGCTCCCACCTCTGGGGTGGGCAAGAGAGCAGTCAGGATGGAGTTGTGCTGGATCAAGGGGGCCTCAGTCCTCCCCAGCATGGAGAGGTCATGCTCACCGTTGGCCCTGAGTGCGCTCAGCAGGCAGATGGCCAGGCTGCGGCTGGCCCCCACATCCAGCACGCGGGGGGCCGTGCCCAGCTGCACCAGGGAGGGGAAGCGCCGCAGCACAGGCAGGGGCACAGCTGGTGGCTCTGCGTGGAAGAAGAGCAGTGCTTCGTCCAGGGCATCCTGCAGGAGACAAAAACAAATGAGGGAACCCCCTCCATCCCCCCCATACCCGCTCCCCTCTGCTCCAGGTGCCCCCTCACCTGTCCCAGAGCTGGGGCACCTCCGCCCAGGTCTCGGGGGTACTTGTGCCGTATGGCCGGCAGCCAGCTGCTGTCTCGCTGTTGCAGGAAGCCTTCAGCGCAGAGTGCTCCAGCTGCGTAGCCGCACAGACCACCCTCATCCTCCAGCACAAATGTGTACTCGGGGCTCAGGCTCAGGAAGCTGCCCAGCAGCCTGCCAGCCAGAGCAGGAGCACTGCTGAGCTGCCACCTGGAGCCAGCCTGCCCCAAGGAAAGCTCAGACCAGCCAGCCTCCTCCCTCCTGCCCCAGCAGGACAGCACCCCGGCGCCCACCGGACCATCCCTTTGAGACCCCCCCAGCAGAAGCCCTCAGCCAAGCAGAGACACCGCAGCCCACCTGCAGCCAGGCTGGACAGTGGGTCCATCCCCACGGCAGCTGCCACAACCCAGCTGGACATTAGCGCAGGGACTGCCCCCCCTACCCCCCTCCCGCAGGGTTAGGCCACCGCCAGCCATGGTGCAGGCAGAGCTGGTCTCCACAGGGATGCGAGGAGAGGCCACCACCTCACACCGTGGCACTGCATCACCCGGCACGTGGCTGGGCTCACCACACGCCTGGCAAGTGGGAGCCCCAGAAGGGCCACATCTCACCTGTCACCGAGGAGATCGGGGTGAGCCGCAAGGATCTCTGCGACTTTGGGGTCACAGTCCAAACTCTCCCGGCACATTCGGTAGAGCTCTCCCTGGAAGACCCAGATCCACCTCAGCCCTGGTTCTGCCTGCCTTGCCAATCCCTGCCCCTCAGTTGCCTGCCGCCCCCGCCACAGCCCCTGCCAGAGCACGGTGTACCCGCAGCTGCCCGAGTTGACCATAAAGAGGGACCGCGACCAGGGCTGTGGCCTCCAGCGTGTCCTGGCCAGGGGAAGGTATGAAGGTATGTGCTTTGGCCATCCAAGGGCGCTGGTGTCTGTGCCAAGTGATGCACTGTGCACCACCTTCTGCTGGCCTCTGAAGCTTGTTACCACAGCCCAGCAACGCTTCAGAATGAGAAATCACTGTTCCAGGCAGGCACCCCAGAGCAGCAGCTGCTGAAGAAATGCTCCTCGCCCCAAGACAGAGCATGCTCAGAGCAGCCAGAATGGCAGCAAAACCAATACTGAAACTGAGGTCTCCACAGAGCATGTGCAAAGTGGGACATCTCAAAATTTCCCATCTCTGTCAGATTTGAGTTTGCTGCTGCTCACAGGATCAGTGAAAAGAACATCCCAAAAAAAGCATTGCTTCTCAAAGGAAAGGCTGCCCCGATCACTGAACAACAAGAGCAGGACCACACACTTCTGAGAGCCATTCCCAGAAAGGGCTGAAGTGCTTAGCTGGTTTTTTCTCAAAGCTTCACTGGACACAGACGTTCAGCTTGTTAAAGTTTAGCCTGATCAGATGAAATCTGACAACAGGCAATTGAAAACAAGGCCTTGCAATGGGAATTGCTGGCAGCTGCAGCCTGATATTATAATCTGCTCTCATGCGCTTGCAACTCCTCCTCTGTTAGTTACAAGCACTGCAGCTGTGTGTTGCCGGGTACTGTCTTTAGCAGGGATGTGCAGTTGTGTCCATGATGGCTGGATTTGCAGCGTTAGCATTTCCTTTAGCTAGGAGAAGCAGCAGGGTGAGGGAGCAGGGTGTTCGCTGCAGACTGTGTGGTACGTGGGGAACCCAGGGCTCTGCTGGATTTGGCAGCAGTTTAACTTGGGTGTTCAACACCTCCAAATTCTCCCTTTCCCTCCCCATCCCATCAAACTGCTGGGATGTCAAACAGAGCCGGGGGGCTGGCAGCAAGCAGGTCACAGCCAACAGAAGCTGCTACCTCTCCAGCAGGTAATCATCCTGTCAACTGGATGAGTGTTTGAAGAAGGGACTGATTTGGAGATGAACCTCAAGAAGCTCAGGCAGTGCCCAGAGCTGCAGACTGAGGAAGGCTGCAGGAGGCTGCCATTCAGACTTGCCCTGTTCTGGATCTTTCTGGGCATCTGCTCGCGGCCATCGCTGGAGATCAGCGCTGGGGATGCTCTGGAGGTCGCCCTCGCAACCTGGCAACCTTGAGTCTGTACCAGTTTATCTGTGGCTGTGCCTGCTGCTCAATTCTGAGCTGCGTCTCCCTCCCCTGCTGCTGGCTGCCAGGAGGGGCTCTGCCCAGGCGCTCATCGCAGGGAGGTGGGTGATGGTCCCTGCAGAGGCCACTGGCCACAAGACCCCCTCTCCAGCCCAGGGGGCTGACGCGCTGCTGGACACAGCCCCAGGTGACCTGCCCCAGGCTGGCCTGCTCTGAGCCAGGGCTGGACCCCAGAGGTCCCTTCCCACCTGCATTGCCCTGCACTGCAAGCTCAGTCTTGGGGTCAGCAGCAAGCAAGCATGTATCTCGTTAGCGCATGTACAGCACAGGCCATGCAAAGGTGACTTCAGCCAGTGGGTCCAACCTTGTCCAGGGGCAGCAGCGGGCGCAGGAGGTACAGCTGGCTGGATGGGAAGAGTGGAGGTGGGTGGTAGAAGAGGTCACAGCTGTTCCCCACAGGTAGCAGTGCCTGGAAGAGACAGAGTCCGTCAGGGAGCGGGTTGTTCTGGCTCCAAACCTTGTCTTGGAGGCAGTGGGAGGAGGGTCCCTCTGAGGCACCCTAAACCCCAGGAGCCACAGCCAAGGCGCAGAGGCCTGGGGCAGCTCTGCCTTCCCAAGCTTGCAGCAACCCAATGGCAGAGCCAGGAGCAGCAGCTGGGATCCTGTCTTTGCAATGGCTGTTTCAGCCCCCACAGATATGGACATGTTCTCACCTGCAGCTCTCCAAAGAGGCCCCCACGACGCACCCAGGGCTCAGCGTCCCGCCCAAGCAAGATCGGGGCAGTGATGCTCTGGCACCCTGGAGGCAGCAGGAGACAGACACATGCGAGGTGAACAAATACCTGCTGGGCCAGGGGGAGATCAGCCTCCATCACACAGCAACATCACGATCCACACTGGTCACAGCTCCAAGGATCTGCCCCCACAGCTGTGCAGCCTGGGCACAGGACCTTGCCTGGGCTCAGGCAGCCAGCCCCATGCATTAGGGTAGCAACACACCTTCCGCAACAGGGCTTGAAGCGGAGGAATGGGGAAAGGAATGATCTTGCCTCCATGAAAGGTGTAAGGTAAAGACATAGCTCCTGGCTATGGTTGGAAAGCTGCAGGCTGCCACAGAGAGCAGCACACCGCTTTGGTGCCCAGCCAGCCAGCTCTGCAGTGCCTGTGGGAATTTGCTCTGCATGCAGCTGCTTCCCTGCAGAAGTGGTTCAAGGCACATAGCCCCATCTCACACTGAAGTTGGAGACGCTCTCAGGTTGTCCTCTGGTAACAGTTCTTGGTTTGTAAGAGGTCACAAGGCTCACAGAGCAACCAGGGAACCCTAAACCAGAGGAACAGGGGCTTCCGAAGTGATGCACGGGCATTCAAAATCCAACCTCACCTGTCACCCAGGCCATTACTGCTCCCAATGGCCCATGGATCCCTTTTGCCAGAAAGGCTAAGGGGTCCTTGGATTAAAAGGGCTGAGGAACCATGTCCTAAAAATAGGCATTCATTCCAGACTGTGAGAGATGGTGAAAAGCTGCTCCGATGACTGCCCTGTCCCCAGCAGCAGTGCCCCATCCTGCCTCAGTGTGTCAGGACACACAGGGGTGCCAGCCTTCCCATGGCCATTCCTGCTCCACTCGGCAGGCAGAGCATGGGAAAGGGCAGCCCGGTGGTGAGTGCTGGCTGCTGCTGTGGGGCTGGAGGTGACGGAGGGCAGCAGCCAGGGCCCCACTGCCCAGGTGGGTAAGCCAGGGCAGCACTGGTACTTACAGCCAAAGCAGCTTCCCCAGGTCCCCTTGGGGTCAGGGTCGCAGAGGAGATGGCCATCTGCAAAGGAGGCAAAGTGGTGAGCATGCGACATGGGTCAGTGGTGGGGAAGGTGTCAAGGGAAGGTGCACTCCCAGGAGAGACCCTGGCCCCCCTGGCTAGACACGGGGACCCCAGACGTCTGGGATGGGGTCCCAGACACCTTCACCTCTTTAGGGGGGGAAACAGTGGATCACCACAGAACAAGCTTCAGATGCCCTGGGTGTGCTGCAGTGCCTGGGGTCCGCTGCACTTCAACACGGCTGGATTTGGCCAGGGTGTGAATACGCGCTACGGGGCCACAGGGGCTGGCTCAGGGCTGGCATCAGCCACGTACCCAGCCAGAGGACGAAGGCACTGGCGGCCAGCAGCATGTTGCGGATGTCCCAGAGGTAGGGGTGGAGGTCGTAGAGCAGCGCTTGCCCTGTGCTGCTGACGAAGTGGCTGTGCAGGCGGCACGTCTGACTGCAGAGCAGCTGGAAGGACTGGGCATGGCCACGCCACTGTGTGCCCTGTGGATGGACCAGGCTGTCAGCACAACCGTGACAGGCACCGTCCCGCAGCAGTGCCTGGACCAGCCTTACCTCGCAGGCATCAGTTGCCGTGGCCGGAACCCCCACACTGAGGCTGTTTGCCCGGAGCCACCGAAAGTGCTCCAGGAGATGCTGCGCCAGTGGCCCATGGTGATAGGGCAGGTAGAAGAGCTCCACCAGCATCCGCACCTCCCCCAGAGTCAGCGGTGCCATGGGGCTGGACCTGGCCTCCTCTGGGGTCAGTGGTGCTGTGGGGTTGGACCTGGCCTCCTCAAGGGTCATCAGTGCCGTAGGGACAGACACAGCGTCCTCTGAGGTCAGCGGTGCCGTAGGGATGGACCTGGCCTCTTCTGGGGTCACTGGTGTCATGGGTCTAGACTTGGCCTCCTCTGGGGTCACTGGTGCTGTGGGGCTGGTCCTGGTCTCCTTGGGGGTCAGTGGTACCATGGGGCCAGACCCAGCCTCCTCCAGGGTCAGCAGGGCCATGGGGCTGGACCCAGCCTCCTCTGGGGTCAATGGTGCCATGGGGCCAGGGCTAGCACCAACCTCATCAGTGAGCGGTGCTGGGAGGCCAGGGCTGGCACCAGCCCCACCAGTGAGCGGTGCTGGGGAGCTAGGGCTGGCGCCAGCCCCACCAGTGAGCGGTGCTGGGAGGCCAGCGCTGGTACCAGGTCCAGGCCCTGGAGGTGTCTGGGGCATGTCAGCCCTGCTGTCCTCAGGCTGGGTACTGCTGGGGGACTGGGGGGGGCTGCCACCCCCTGTCCTGGCATCACTGGTGGGTAGGGGAATGTTCTGGCTGATGTTGGCCCCATTGCTGCAGCACATGGATGGGCCTGGACTGTGGAGGGTCTTGGTGGCCACCGGGGTTCCTGCAGACTGGGCACTCCCAGCCATGCTGGGCAGAGCAGAGGAGGGCTCACAGGTCTCTCTGCTCCCCATGGTGAGCTGGTCCCCATTCCCTGTGGGGCTTTGCCAACTGCTAGCGAGGGTCCTGCTCCCACTGCCCTTCTCAGGCTCCGAGGTCACCTTCTTCCTTTCCTCCTCTGGTGCCACACTGCAGGGCTCAGGGCCATGCTGGTCTGCCCCACTGGGAACAGAGTCATGGGGCTGGGGTTCGGGCATGACCTCGTGTCCTCTCTCTGTGCCAGGCTGCAGCCTCATTCCTCCCTTGAGGCTGACGCTGGGGTGTCTTGGGGTCCTTCCTCCTGGCAGAAAGGAGCAAGGGGGCAGCACCTTTGGCACCTGCATGGAAACTGCTGCCCATGGGGCAGGAGAGCCCTGGGGGTGGCTGTGCCAGGAAGCTCCATCTCCAAGCTGGCAGGGACCAGGGAGGTGCCAGGACCATGGGTTTGGATCACTCTGTGCTCTGGAGTTCAGGCCTCTGTGACTGGTGAGGCCACAGGCTTTGCAGAGGCAAACACTGCAAAACACCGAGCTTGCAACCTGGCTGAACCCCCTCTTCCAGAGCCGTATCATGGCCCAGGCTCTCACGCTGCCAGCCAAGGAGACCCCCTTTTGGGATGCGGCCAGAGCAGGAGCACCCACAAAGCAGCATGATTTGATGGATGCCCATGCCTGCCCACCACGACACACACAGACCCCGCTGCCGCACCAGCCAGAGCGCACTATCCAAACGGGCAGGACATGGGGCTCCCTCAGTCCACCGAGCTCCCAGCAGAGCCAGTCCAGTGCTCCAGAGGGGATAAGGGATGCTGCACGGTGTGAGTTCATCACCTACCTGGCTCCAAGGCCTGCCGGTTTATCTCAGCAACCCAGTCATGCAGCGCCAGCTCCAAGGCATCCTGGGGGCTGTAGCTCCCCTCCTCTGAGCCTTGGCTGTCCTCCAGGGCTGTCACAGTCTCCATCCCTAAGGAAATGGAGCTCATCAGCCTGGGCAGACCCACTCTTCGCTTGACGGAGCTATCCCATGCCACTGAGGGCGGGCATTCCCCCCTCCAAAGAGATGCCCCCAGGATGGATCCCCTGCTCTGGGATGTCAGGTAGTGCCCAGCCAGGTGAGACACCTCACGCAGGCTGCCATGCAGGAAAGCCTGCAGGCCTGTGGCAAAGATGGGCAGCGATGGGCAGGCCCTGCCCTGGGTGCAAGCTCACTGCCAGCACTGAGGCTCCATGTACAGAGCTGCCTGGGGAGCTGGGACCAGGTACCTGCATGATCACTGTGGGCACAGCTCCTCAGCTCGCTCCGAAACCAGCTGCCCAATGTGTGTATGGGGATGAAGTTGGCCTGGAGTTCACAGTTGGGGTTGAGGAGCAGTCCATGGAGCCTGGACATGAGGCCAGGGGCACGTCCCATGTAGGGGCCCAGGAAGACACGTCTGCAGTCATAGTCGTTGGCGTACAGGTTGTCCCAGATGACGGGGCGGCGCCGCAGGACACCCTCCACCTCCTCCAGCTGCATGGCTGAGAGCTCCTGTGACACTACCTTTGGGCCTGGAGCATCACAGCACGGACGTGCATGGAGCACACAGGCAGCGCGGTCCGTCATGCATGCTCGCAACAAGGACATGCGCACATCTGGGCACCGAGCATGGAGATGAGGGTCGAGTCACCCCACCCCACCCTCCCTAGCCAGAAGGAGAGCAGACCCACAGCCTGACCCATTGCCTGACTGGCCAGGGCTGCGTACCCCAATGCTGAAAGGCACCGCTGTGGGGCCGCTTGTTGGTGCCTCTCCTGGGACAGAGCCCATAGCTGCAGGGTTTGCAGACACTGGCTTTTGCTGAGAAGCTGCGCAGGACCACACACCCCACAGAGCCAGGCCAGGTGCTCACCTGTCCAGATGACACCAATCCCTGGGAGCAGCTCCTGGCCGATGGTCAGAAGGTAGCAGGACTGGCTGGGACTGGGAGAGCACAGAGAGCTGCAGTACTCTGGGGAGAGAGCACAGAGCATCCCTTGAGGGGCAGAGAGACCAGGAGAGAAGCTGCCTAGGATCAATGGATAGGGGCTGGGAAGATGTGTTGTGCAGGGAATACGGCATGCATGGCTGCTGAAGCACCAGCCCATCTACAGCCTGGTCCTGTCCTAATGCTGAGATCTCCAGGGCTCCTGCAGGAGCATGAAGGGACTGGGGGGAGCTGTGGAGGCTATCAGGGCACTCAGCTCTCAGCAGATAGAGGTGCTGGCTGCAGCCAGCCAAAGGGCACCCCTGTCTGCTGTGGGGTGCCATGGCTGGCCAAGCACTGGGCTCCCAGGGGTGGCTGGGGCTGCACGGCTGCAGGCAGTACCTGTAGGGCAGAAGAGGAAGACGGAGGGTTGGCCCAGCTCCTGGTACACCTCGTTGGCCACAGAGGCCTGAGCCTGTGCCAGGGACGGGAAGATGTCTCTGTCAGCTTCACACATGCAGGGATCGATGTCGTCAAAGAGCAGCGCGAAGGACTGGCACCCCATGGCAGCCACCTGAGGACATGGGCACAGGCTGCTAGGGTCCCTGGGCAGCAGAGAGAAAGGAGGCAGCGAGCCCCAGACGAGCTCCTGCCACCTGGACACCATAAGGACAGCAGAGGTCTGGGGTGCCCGGACGGACGGGGTGGGCAGAGCGTGTCCCCCACGCCTGCCCAGCAGATGCTGTGCACGAGGTCCAGCTGCTCCATGGGCACACACCAGCCCTGCGGCCACAGCCCACCTCGCTCCAAGCCCTGCGCGCAGCCACGTTTGCCGTGCGCCAGAAGCCCTTTCAAAGCAGACTCCGTGCTGCGGTGGCCCAGAGCCGCTCCCACCGTGCCACTGCCGGGCGGCCCCACTTGCCGCCCACCACATCTGCTCCCCTCCGCACTGCACCCACACATCTACCTGCAGCGTGGGGAGCCCCGTGGCAGGAGCAGAGGCTGGCAGAGCCTTGAGAGGAGCCTCACTGCATGGCTGGGCAGGTGCTCCCTGTGCCAGGGCTGGCTGGGGGCAGCCGGAGAGGCGGCCAGGCTTGGTGCAGGACAGGGCAGCTGCTGCCTGGGCTGTGCCACAGGGAGGAGGAGCAGCCGCCCACGGAGCAAACCCACCGTGCTGGCGGCTCTGTACCCTCCCTGGGGACCAGGGGCTCAGCACTAGCCTGCATAGGCTTCTGGTGCTGCCCAGCAAGCTCTGGGGCTTGGTCGGTCCCTCTCCTGTCCCCAGCGCTGCCTGCTAGCAGTCAGGCATCCACGGAGCCCTTGGGTCTCTGTCACCGTGACAGGGACAGCACATCTGCCAGCAGGCACCCCACAGAGCTAGCTGCTCCCTGATGTGCATCAGCAGGAGGGGTTTACAGCCCCACAACAGCCTTTGGGGTGGCCATGGGGCCCACACACAAGCATGCATGCCCCTCGCCTGGGAGCAGTGGGGTGAAGGAATGGCCCACGGTACCTGCCTGAGTTTTTCCTGCAGCAGGAGCCGATCCCTGGCACTTGAAAACACCATGTCCTGACCAGCAGAAATGGCGAAAACAAACTCCACACCCTGCTCTTGGGCAGCTTCGATGAGAGACCGCATGCGGGCTGGGGACAAAGCAGAGGGGGTGCTGTGAGAGCTGGGAGGCAAGGGATGGAGAGAGGCAAGGCATGGAAGGAGGCAAGGGATGGAGGGAGAGGGAACCATGGTGGCCCGAAAGGAAGGAGCTGAGGGCATTGGAAGGCATGAGAGAGCATCTGGAGGGGAGAGGCCCAGGAGAGACAATTTCCAGCCCATTGGGACAGAGGGTCTGCGGGCCCTGGCATATTCGAGCATATTGTCAGAGACCCACGCGGGGAGCTCCCCATGCTGGGTGGGCTCCTAGGCAATTCCATGTGATGGGCAGGGTCTGGGGAGGCTCCTTGTACCAGGCAGGGCCTGCGGGGCTCCCTGCAGCAGGCAGGGCCTGCGGGGCTCCCTGCAGCAGGCAGGTTTCTGGCAGTAAGAGTGGTAACAGCCAACCTGACCCTGGATGAGGTGCAGACTGTGCTTCACCCTTGAGGACCCAGGACACCTGCAGCCCACCCGTGCTGGGGCCCAGCAGAGCCGCTACCTGCCTCATGCTCTGTGTAGGGCTCTCGCCAGAGCAGCCGGTGCTTCAGCTCGTCCTTGGGTGCATACATGTAGCAGTTCAGCCCCCACCGTTTCAGCCTGTGCAGCAAGGACAAGGGGTCACCCGAGGCTCCAGGTGGGCAATTTCCAAAGAGGCATCCGGGCAGGTGCCAGCCCGCAACACCAAGAGCTCCTCAGCATATGGCGTCCACTCCTTCCCCAGAGCTGCACCGTGTCCTTCCATGCTTCCAGCCTCTGCTCCCACAGAGCCCCACAGACTGTGGAGCCACAGCTTTTCGCCTGCACAGGGACCCCTGCCCTGTGTACTTTCAACAGCCACACAGAGATATAAATCTCACCCAGTGGTCCCAGTGCTGAGCTCAACAATTTGTGTTGTTTAGGGACCTCCAGACAGACCGTGCATCTGGAGGAGAAGGTCTCAGAGACCAGCAGGATGTTGCTTCCTGTGAGATGGGTTGAATTAACACCCTAGCTGTGGAAAAAGCAGGTGGGAGGGACCAGCTTAGCCTAAACAGCTTGTTTTAACCACTTCACAATGATGACAAAAAGCTCAATGTCCTGAGCAAGGAATGGAGGAGGGGTGAGTGGCCAGAGCAGCCTCCAGGGGAAGAGGGGGGATCCTTGGGGAGACTGAGGATGGGGCTGGAGCCATGGAGGGAGCAAGCTCAGAGGTCTACTGCTCCACACAGCCCCCCAAAGGGTGCAGGCAGCCCCAGCCCTGGAGTCCAGCTGTGGGGCTCCATCAGGCCAAACCAGCCCTGCAGCTTTGCAGCAGCTCTCTCCAGGCTTGCAGTGAGACCTGTGGAAGCACTTAGCATCTTGTGTAAGCACGTTTGGGGTGGGTTTCTTTTCCCTTTCTCTTCAGCTGTGCTTCTAATTGTGTAATCAAGAACCAAACTTGTTTGTAGCCCAAACACGCAGGCTGCAAGGTTGCCTGTTGTGATGAGTAACTCTGGATGAAGCAGGTATGTACGAGCTAGTTGCCCCTCTGGACATGAGGGGTCTCTGTGGAGCAGTACCAGCCGAGACTCTCTGGAGAGCTGGCACCTCACCGCTCCCCAAAGCTCAGTGTCCAGGAGTGGGGTGCGCCTGCCAGGCACAATCTGGCCTGGGGTACCCCTCTGGGAACCACACACACATGGGGAGCCACTGTAGACCCCCTCACATCACCCCCTTGAAAAGCCCACGTCCTGTCTGCAGGGTGGCCTGACTCCACCAACAGTCCCTATACGCCTGCTGCACCATTCCCAGGTCATGCCTTGATCACTTGAACAGGTCAAGACCTTCAACACCATTGCTCTACAACCATTTTTGCAGCTACTGGGTCTCACTGGGGCTCTTTTGCACCCTTGCATTTTTCCGTCTCCTCTCCAGTGAGACACCAGCACAGGACACAGCGCTGCAGCCCTAGCCCAGCTCTGGATATGGAGGCTGCAGCCTCCTCAACCTGCAACCTCTGGGCTGTCCCTTGCCTGCCCTGGTCTCACTTTCCTCACACTGCAGCCAGATGTGCCCCACATCACCAGCCTAGCTCCTGCACAAACACCATTTTTTGGCTGTGTTAGGTGATGTGTCAATGGAAGGGGGCCCAGAGCAGGCTTTGTGTTTACTGCTGGGATGATGTGCGTGCCACATGCCACTGCGACCTGACAAAAGGAAGTCAGGCAAAAATACCAGGAGGCCTGCATGGATGAATAAGGAGCTCCTGGACAAACTACAACACAAAACAGAAACCTACAGAGGGTGGAAGCAAGGACAGGTAGCCTGGGAAGAATACAGAGAAATTGTCTGAGCAGCCAGGGATCAGATTAGGAAAGCTAAAGCTATGACAGAATTAAATGAGGCCAGGGACATCAAGGGCAACAAGAAAAGCTTCTATAGGTATGTCAGTGATGAAAGAAAGACAAAGGAAAATGTGGGCCCTCTCCGGAAGGAAAGGGGAGACCTGGTTACCCAGGACATGGAGAAGGCTGAGGTACTCAACGACTTTTTTGCCTCAGTCTTCACCAGCAAGGGCTCCAGCCGCACCACCCAAGATGCACAAGGCAAGGGCAGGGAGTGGGAGAATGAAGAACTGCCCACTGTATGAGACCATCTAAGGAACCTGAAGGTGCACAAGTTCAACGGACCTGATGAGGTGCATCCACGGGTCCTGAGGGAACTGGCAGATGAAGTGGCTAAGTGACTATCCATCATATTTAAGAAGTCATGGCAGTCCAGGGAAGTTCCCACTGACTGGAAAAGCAGAAATATACCCCCCATTTTTAAAAAGAGAAAAAAGGAAGAACCGGGGAACTACAGGCCAGTCAGTCTCACCTCTCTGCCCGGCAAGATCACGAGCGGATCCTCCTGGAAACTATGCTAAGGCACATGGAAAATAAGGAGGTGATTAGTGACAGCCAACATGGCTTGACTAAGGGGCAAATTGAGCCTGACAAATTTGGTGGCCTTCTACAATGGGGTTACAGCGCTGGTGGACAAGGGAAGAGCAACTGATATCATCTACCCAGACTTGTCCAAAGCATTTGACACTGTCCGACACAACATCCTTGTCTCTGATTTGGAGAGACATGGTTTTGATGGATGGACCATTTGGTGGATAAGGAATGGGCTGGATGGTTGCACTCAAAGAGTTGCGGTCAATGGCTCATTGTCCAAGTGGAGACTAGTGATGAGTGGCATTCCTCAGGGGTCAGTGTTGGGACCAGCGCTGTTTAACATCTTTGTCGACAACATGGACAGTGGGACTGAGTGCACCCTCAGCAAGTTTGCTGACCACACCAAGCTGTGTGGTGCGGTCAACACACTGGAGGGAAGGGATGGCATCCAGAGGGACCTTGACAGGCTTGAGGAGTGGACCTGTGCGAACCTTATGAAGTTCAGCCCAAGCACAAATACAGGCTGGGTGGAGAATGGACTGAGAGCAGCCCTGAGGAGGACTTGGGGGTGTTGGCTGACAAGAAGCTCAACATGACCTGGCAATGTGCGCTTGCAGCCCAGAAAGCCAACCGTAACCTGGGCTGCATCAGAAGAATTGTGACCAGCAGGTTTAGGGAGGTGATTCTCCCCCTGTACGCCACTCTGATGAGACCCCACCTGGAGTACTGCATCCAGCTCTGGGGCCCCCAACATAAGAAGGACATGGACCTGTTGGAGCGAGTCCAGAGGAGGGCCACGAAGATGATCAGGAGGCTGGAGCACCTCTCCTATGACAACAGGCTGAGAGAGTCGGGTTTTTTCAGCCTGGAGAAGAGAAGGCTCCAGGGACACCTTACAGCAGCCTGCCAGTACCTAAAGGGGGCCTACAGGAAAGCTGGAGAGGGACTTTTTACAAGGGCAAGTAGTGGTAGGACAAGGGGTAATGGCTTTAAACTGAAAGAGGGTAGATTTAGATTAGATATAAGGAAGAAATTCTTCACTGTGAGGGCGGTGAGGCACTAGACCGGGTTGCCCGGAGAGATTGGGGATGCCCCATTCCTGGAAGTGTTCAAGGCCAGGTTGGACGGGGCTTTGAGCAACCTGGTCTAGTGGAAGGTGTCCCTGCCCGTGGCAGGGGGGTTGGAACTAGGTGATCTTTAAGGTCCCTTCCAACCCAAACCATTCTAGGATTCTATTCTATGACACAGACCTCCAGAGGCAGCTGCTGTGCACATCCTGCCAGGGAGGCTCACAGAGCAGCTCCAGAGAGCCTGCACCCCTCTCTGTTACACACAGTTAACATGGGGTCCAGCACTGCCACTGTAACAGGGATGAGGATTCATCAAGGTGCAGCATCTGGCATCAGCAGTAACTCTGCTTTAACTAAAGTCCTTTTGCAAGGAATCCATGAGCTGCTGGCATTAGAATCACAGAATGTTCTGGGAACTTGGGACTGCAAGACTTTTGCCAAGCCCTGCAAGTGGAAAGCCCCGGAGTGCTGAAAAACTGAGTGCTGAAGCAGAGCTTTGGCAGGGTGGGCAGCAGAGCTGGGTAAGCATGAACCCATAGCAGGATGCTGTGCCTGTGCAGTTTGCAGGTGGCAAAGACCAAGTAAGTGGAGAATAAAGGAGCAAATACAGCACTTAGATGGAGTGATTTGAAATGGCTGTTAAGCTGGGCTTCAGCAGGCAGTATACTTCTTAATACAGCCAAGCATAAAGTCCTACCTAGGTAAAAGAATACAGAAGATAGGGTGTGTGAAGTAATGACTTAACATAATGAGCAATTAGTCGAATGGGAGTGTCCTCTGCAGTGCCAGTGGTAACTCAGCATAAGAGAAAGCCCTAGATGAATCACTGCAGAGTGTCAGGTGGGACTAAGGAGGTTTGGTGACCTCTGTGCTAGATGCAGATGCAGAGATGCTGAGAACAGTCTAGAGTGAGTCTGCCAAGGAGCCGCACACACAGACACAGGTGGAAAGCCTGCAAGCAGGAGTCTTGGAGTACAGTCTGCTCATCTCCCCAGGGGAAATCCTCAGCCCGCCAACGCTCAGGAGGAGAGAAAAGCCACACCTGGCAGTCAGGGACACGGCAGTGTCCAGGGGTGACTCACAGGGACATGCATGCGGGTGAGATGGGAGGGGAAATGTCTCCAGCTCTCCAGATGCTCCACTGCAGTCAGAGATGAAGGGAAGCAGATCTGACAGAGATCAGGGTCTGCCTGCTTCAGGAGATCACACTGCAGCAACATAAGGCTCTTTCTGGCCTCAGAAAGCACAAATTCTTTCCAGAATCTCCCCAGCAATCCAAGACGCACTGGAAATCATCAGGACAGGGCAGACACCTCCCTCAACAGCGCTTTTGGCACTCCTATATGAAAGCCATCTGATATATTCATTTATTTTTATTTATCCTTCTTCGCAGACAATGTTTTACATTTTCCCACGATGAACAGACTGGGAAGCGTATCATGTACCACATGATACAAGTGCCTCATCTTGTTTCTTTCCAGAGAAGAAAAACACCAGTGAACATACCGCTCACATGTGCAGACATGTGAACATACATCCCAGACCAGTACCAGACAAAGCCATCATTAGACCTTCTCATTCCTAATACACTTTAAAACATCACATCTTGTTTTCCTTCCTGTATGTTTTCCCCAAATTTTCTAAGCTACATTTTTCTGTATCAGCATCTCTAGTCCCTGCGTTATGGTCCTTACTTGCACTTGTGACTGCCCACACTGCCATCAGCGCACTCTTACAGCATGACCGGCACATTTCCCACACAGTGCATGGCTGCCAGTGCCATCACCAGCACAGTCATCAGTACACGGCCCTGCTGTCTCTGGCCCACTGCCCAGCCATCACTGGTGCACTGCCCACACTGTCATCAGTGCACTGCCTGGCCATCACCGGTGAACTGCCCACACTGTGACCAGCACACTCTCTACACCATCCCCAGTGTGCTGCCCATGCCATCACCAGGGCAGTACCCACAGTGACCAGTGTGCCGCCTAGGCTGTGACCATCGTGCTGCCCATGCTGGATGCTCCACAGGGGCCCCGCAGGGCCCCAGTTCATCAGTGGCAGGTCCTGTCAGTGCAGCTCATCCCACTGATAGCCAGTACATGGGCACCAGCTGCTAGGAGAAGGGTTTTTCTTGTCTGCACACATCAACTCCCATCCCAAGGTTATTCTCACAACCAGCCAGTGATAGATCCTGCCCACATCCTTCCATCACAGGGACTCATGGTGACACACAGACGTACATGGGGACTCACAGGGATGCAAGGGCCACCTCCACAGCAGGCAGGGCTGCAAGTGCACATTGCCGGGTCATGTTGAGCTTCTTGTCAGCCAACACCCCCAAGTCCTCCTCAGGGCTGCTCTCAGTCCATTCTCCACCCAGCCTGTATTTGTGCTTGGGCTGAACTTCATGAGGTTCGCACAGGTCCACTCCTCAAGCCTGTCAAGGTCCCTCTGGATGCCATCCCTTCCCTCCAGCATGTTGACCGCACCACACAGCTTGGTGTGGTCAGCAGACTTGCACAGGTGAATAAAGTGGCCATCTGTGCCCATGGTGGAGTGATGCGGGTTTGCTGTGCTGTCTGTTTCCACAATGATAAGCCTGGCTCCAGCGAGGCTGGGCTGGCTGGAAGCACCCACCCGGTGTCCTCGCTGGGAGCGCAGGGCAGTGGGGACAGCAGCCCCAGGTGGGGTGAGCTGGCCGCTTGCTGCTGGTGGCAGCAGGCATGCGCTGTGCTGTCCTGCGGCCAGCACACCCACAGGGGCTGGTGCCGCGTGGCACTGCCCAGGACTGCACAGTTCAGAGACGAGGCAATGGGTGCTCGTCCTGCCAGGTCAGCACCCGAGGTGGGCTTCCAACCCACTGAACACCCCCACATTCTCTCTCACACGGATCTGATTTCCCATTTTCAGCCCCAGCCCCTCTGCCTGTTCCCTGATACCCCTCCTGTGCTTGGGCTGCCCTAGCCGACCCACGCTATGCTGCAGTCAGGGCAGAGCAGCTTTTCTGGTGCCTCCAGAGGCAGCGTTTTCAGGCTTGCATAGCCCCCACGCTCCTCTCCAAACCCTTCCCAGCTGCCATCGCTCCTCGCAAGGCATGGGGAGCAGGGTCCAACTCTGTCCCACTGACAGCTCCCCGTGGGTCTGCGCCCTCGCTGGAGCACACGTGCCAGCTTTGCGGTGCCAGCACGCAGCAGCTAGTGCCCACCCAGCCCCTTCCAGGCCCCATCCCCAGACCCCATTCCCTTGGGGCGCCCAGCCCTGGCCCAGGCCCCCCAGCCAAGCACATCTGGCTGCAGCTGGACTGTCAGAGTCCCAGCACCATCTGCCGGCACAGGGCAGCACAGCCCGCATCTGTTCGGGTATCCTTGGGCTGCCCGTCCATCCTGCAGCCACGGCACCCGAGTCCCGGGCGAGAAGGTCTTTCCCTGGGCTGGATCCAGTGGTGCAAGAGTGCTGGGACCGAGGAGGCACTGCAGGAGCAGCGCTGGGAGAAACATGACCCCCCCTTCATTGCCATCGCCCCGGCATCCCAAAGGCAGGCCAGCCCCCTGAGCCTCCCTCCAGCATGTTTTCCCTCACTGCTCCTGCCTCCACAGCACTCTGGCTTCCACCTCGTCACTCTGCCACAGGCTAGTATCTTCAGAGAGGAAAATTCAGGGTACTTGCCATTGAAAGAGAAGTTTCCTCTGTTCCATAGACCATGGTCTCCCATAGAAACCTATAAAAGAGGGGAAAAAAAGTCAAAAAGCAGTTATCAGTAACTGCCTTAAAACAGAGTCTCTCTCTGTACTGTCCCTAAGCGGCTGCTCTTAAACCCAGAGGTCCACCAGTTGTTCACCTCTGGGTACTGCAGATGTCTATTATCCTGCTATTATCTTGCTGGTTATTGGTATTCAAGCAAGTGGGTATGATGTCTGTGCTTCCATTCTTTCCAGAAAGAGGCAGCTGGGAAGAATTGCACAAGGTAGCACTAAACCTGGGAGGTAGAATTTGCACAGTGAAAGCCAAGCCTAGAGGAGACAGCTGAGGGCTGGCAAAGTTATAAGGCACTCTAGCATGATTTTGGGGTGCACCGAAGCACAGAGCTATTGTACATCCATCCTAGAGTTTTCTGCCTGGGGATTTTCTTCTTTACAGAGACCAGCTCTGTGTCTCTCTGCATATCTCTTGTGTCTGTGTAGTGTCAGGCTGTGTCAAGCAGAGCATGATCACTCCTGTACGGGCTATAAAAGCTGCTCTCTCTGTCTTTAATCACTGCACAACTCAAACTGCACCAAAATTGCACTGGCACAGCTCTCCCCTACACCCTGCAAACACACACCTGAATTGCAGCAGCAGTCATGTCCCCTAGCAAGCTGTTCATATGAGGAACACACAACCTGCGGGGATACCCACGAGTGCTGGGAGTATGACTCCACATGACATTTCACACACACCTTGTCTGTCCCCCACCGGAAAACACCATCTCCATAAGCTTGCAAAGGGAAAATCCAGAGAGAGAAAGCATACCAGGGAGCAACCTTTCCAGTTGTCTGCTAACAAAGACAGTTATCAATGAGCACCAAGGCTGGCTGCAAGGACGTTGCCCTTCCAGAAAGTTCACATCAACAAAACCAAATGCAGGAAATACAGATCTGGAGTCAGCAAATTCCCAAGTGTTTCTTAACATTTCCACTTCTGCTGCTTGCAGGCATTAGGTGGTTGTTGGGCACCAGTGTCTGACACAATCTTGAGGCTGCAGCACCACAGTCTGCCCTGTGCTCTGCAGGGAACGAGTCTGTGACTGGATATAGTGAGCAAGGGCACTGCTGGACATGCAGCACTCATTCTGCTGTTGGGACTGCTTTCAAGGAAGGGCCTTTCTTATTTCTGCATGTAGGAAGACTTGGGAGGTACGGAGTTGTCTCCAAAGCCAGTGAGAAAGAATACCCGGTGGAAGGCAAGCCACTTCACTTGGGGACAATGGGAGAATAGGCAGGTAAATGGGTTTGTAGAGATGCAGATTTGACAGCTTCTTAAAGAGGAGGTTAAGGGGAACCTGTAAGTGTTCCAGCACAAACCTGAAATTTAGCATGAGAAGAATCTTCAGTCACTTCAAATCTCTGCAAGATCTGGCAGCTGCAATGTGAAGTCTCACAGAAAATACATTACATCTTGAACAGTGATGGCAATTAGCCATCAAGGCAACTTCCTAGTTTTGGATGAGCTCTGCATCATGGGCAACTTTTAAATCAGTCAATGCACTTTCTAGAAGACAAGGCCAACAGGAGCAGATATTCAGGGAAGTGAATGCATTCACTGAACTGGGCAGCACACAAGGGCAGATTGCAATGACTCTGTTAGTCTGGGAGAAAGGACCGGCTCTCAGGGTCTGGCATGAGGCCAGCATTGACCACAAAAGCACCCGCGTTTCCCTAAAGCACCTGAGTGCTCTGGAGCTGATCTGCCTGGGAGGGGACCCTGATGCCCTGCTCCCTTTGGCAGGAGCCCACCCTGCAGCCCTCAACACCAACCTTGGGCAATGGTGTGGTAGGCTGTGCCACAGCACACACTGAACATTATCTTCTTTGTAGATAGATCTTCTACCTGTTTGAACATCTACATGGTTATTCCACCTACTTTGAAATAATATATATTTACCTTACTAGCCATCCCCCACTGTGCATGGGGCCAAATTTGTGGCCACTCAAGGATCCCAGCAAACACTTCACCCGAAGAAATAGTTTTAAATAAATAGTTTTTTCCAATAAATAAATAGGTTTTCCATTTCCCAATCCACAGGAACTCCTGCTCAGCTCGCAGTGAGGTCCTAGGAGTCCCTGTACAGCACTTGCTTGCAAGTGCCTCACTCACACTTTGCTGTGAACTGACGCTGCCTTGCAAGTATGACACTCAGCGCCTACACGAGCCCTGCCAGCAGCAGCTCTGTTGAAAATGTCATCCTAGTGTATTCTGCCACGTAAAGTAGTTTAAATTGTACCAGCAAGATCTGTTTGTACCTGTGTCTGCATCTCCAAAGGAGTGATGTTGGTGCTCTGCTTTTTTGAAGCCAGATGGGCACTGATGATTGATGCTGTGCATTTGTACCTCATCTCTCCCATGGCCCAGATCACTACATCAGTAACCCGTCAACACCATTACTTGCCAAACTCTGGGCCATCTGGAATGTCCCTCAGCAATTTCTTCACAACCATTAGCAACACATTGAACACATTGGGAAGCAAAGTCCTCAGGCCCCAACCATTCCCCAGCACTTCTCCTGTCCTGAGTGCAGGTCACCCAGAAGCGTCAGTCCATCCGTGCTCTCTGGCTGCTGCTAGCAATATCTGGGGTGTCAGGAGGGAGCAGGGGGTCTGCGCAGGACACACCACTCCTGGCCTGCCTTGGCCCCGCTACAGCTGCACCCTGCTCAGCAGTCTGCCCACCACAGCACCACCCTATGTTCCCTGCCAGCGTCTGTGCTACCAGGGTGAGGGATGCCTTTCCTTCCTCAATCTTTAGGGACCTCCTCCTCCTGGAGTGGGTCTGCAGCAGCATCTTTGTCCTTCTCTTTCCCAGGTCAGCTTTCCTACATCAGTGATTCTTGTCTGACTCATATTTCTTTTTACTATCAACTTCCCCATCCCTGCACTTTCTATTTATTTTGTGTTTATTTGCATGGTGCTTTTGCTTCCTCCCGGGCAAGGCGGTGGGCTTCAGCAGGGTACTGTGCTGCCAGGAAAAGTGGAGATGCTTTTGCCTAGGGGGTGCCAGGCCTGGCCCAGCTCCAGAGGTTCTGTGCTGCAGAAACAGGAGTTGGGGGCGAGGGGGCAGAAGGACAGGGCTGGGCCATACAGAGCTGCCATGAGAGACCAGGCTCTTCCTGACCAGCTCTGTGCACAGCCCGCGGCAGCGCAGCACTGCGGGCAGGGGGCAGGAGGGGCACACACCGGGATGCTGCCCGCATGCCCAGGACAGAGGAAAACCACTGTGGAGTGCTGGAGGCAGCGCAGAGGGTCCCCATGCCCCACTGCGGGGAGCGGGGGGGGAGTATCCGCTGGGCTGGGCTGGCTGCGGGGTGCAGCAGTGCTCTGGGGAAGAGCTGGGCAACTTCAATGGGGGGTGCTGGTCCCGTACCCGTGGGCAGCGGTAGGGTGCTGTGCAGGGGCCCGCCTCACCGTCTCCCCAGTACCCGGGGTCCCGCGCGCGGCTCGGGTCCCGGCGGCCCTTCCCGGCCCCTGTTCGCTCCGGGTGGACCGGGCCAGCCCCTGCAATGCCCGGGCGGGGCACCGGCCCCAGCCGCGGCCCCGGAGGGACCTACCTTCCACCACGCCGCAGAGGAAGCGCGGCCGCCCCGCCATACCCGCGCAGGAGCGGCCCTGCCGGTGCTGGGGCGGGCGGAGGGGTGCGCGGGCGGATGGAGGGATGCGCGGAGGGATGCGCGGAGCGACAGAGGGATGCGCAGAGGGATGCAGGGATGCGCGGAGGGATGCAGGGTTGCAAAGAGGGATGCGCGGGGGGATGCAGGGTTGCAAGGAGGGATGCGCGGGGGGATGCAGGGTTGCAAGGAGAGATGCGCGGACGGATGGAGGGACGCAAGGAGGGATGCGCGGAGAGATGGAGGCATGCAAGGAGGGACAGAAGGATGCGCGGAGGGATGGAGGGGTGCGCGGAGAGACGGCTCCACCGCCTGCCCTCCCCCGGGGGAGACGCGCCCGCCGCAGCGCAGGGGGCGGC